TCCTTTACATAAAACTCCAAATGAGTCATAGTAGCATCCATTTGTCATAACCCCTCCGCGTGTCCCCCGCCTCTCTCATGCATTTCACCACCTGTTCTGTGCGCCCGCCCGCCCGCCCCTTCTTCTCTCTCACCTAATCGCCATTTTTACGCTCTTTTCTTCATCTCTCTGGTTCAGAGATTATCCAAATTCCCTTTACAGAGAAGGGTTTTCATAGTCGGAACACATTTTGTTTTATGTAACGAAGAAGAAGAAGAGAAAGAAGATGGAGTTGATGAACTCTTTCTTGAATCTGGTGGTGCCGCCGGCGAGTTTGGTGATTCTGGCGTTCTCATGGCCGGCATTGTCCTTCATCAACGCCTGTGAGTGGATTTACAATTCCTTCAATATTGAGAATATGGAAGATAAAGTCGTCATTATCACCGGAGCTTCCTCCGGCATCGGAGAGGTAATTTGCTCGAACCGTTTAACTTCTTGATCGATGATACATAAACATACGCGCTAGAAGGAGGGGGGTTGAACCTCCGATCTCAGGAGGGGTTGAACCTACCTTTCAACTTCTTGATCGATGATACATAAACATACACGCTAGGAGGGGTTGAACCTCCAACCTTGTGTTAACAACCCCATGCTCTAACCAACTGAGCTATTAGGAGGAAGGGTTGAACCTCCGACCTTGTGGTTAACGGCCACACGCTCTAACCAATTGAGCTATTAGAAAGAGGGATTGAAGAGGAAGGGTTTAACCTCCGAACTTGTGGTTAACGGCCACACACTCTAATCAACTGAGCTATTAGAAAGAGGGATTGAACCTCCGAACCTTGTGGTTAACAGCCACTCGCTCTATCCAACTGAGCTATTAGAAGGAGGGGTTGAACCTCCGAACCTTGTGGTTAACAGCCACACGCTCTATCCAACTGAGCTATTAGAAGGAGGGGTTGAATCTCTGACCTTGTGGTTAACAGAAACACGCTCTAACCAACTATTAGGAGGGGTTGAACCTCCGACCTTGTGGTTAACAGCAACACGCTCTAACCAACTATTAGAAGGAGGGGTTAAACCTCCGACCTTGTGGTTAACAGCAACACGCTCTAACCAACTATTAGAAGGAGGGGTTGAACCTTCGACCTTGTGGTTAACAGCAACACGCTCTAACCAACTATGAGAAGGAGAGGTTGAACCTCCGATCTTTTGGTTAACAGCCACACGCTCTAATCAACTTAGCTATTTCAACTTCTTTTGTTAAGTAAATTGGTAGCTGTAGAATTATGAACCAAAATGTTGAAACTCAGCAAATAGCTTATGAGTATGCGAAAAGGAAGGCGAATCTGATGCTGGTGGCAAGGAGGGAGAACAGGCTAAGAATCATAAGTGAGAATGCGAGGGCAATGGGAGCTAAACGAGTTTTGATCATGGCGGCTGATGTTGTTAAAGAAGATGACTGTCGAAGATTCGTCTCTGAAACTGTTAATATCTTCGGACGAGGTTTCTTTCTGATCTTCCCTTCTTTGAAGAACTGGATTTATAGTTATTTTATTCAACTCTTGTTCTTGTGCAGTGGATCATCTTGTAAACACTGCTAGTTTGGGACATACATTCTACTTTGAGGAAGTTACCGATACATCGATATTTCCCCATTTGATGGTAAGAACTGTTCGAGGATTGTTGGGAGGGAGTTGATCATGGGTTTATAAGGAATAACATCTCCATTAGTATGAGTCCCAGCTTATGTTCAAAGTGGACAATATCATACCATTGTGGGGTTCCTGATTCTTAACATGGTATTAGAGTCGTGCCCTTAACTTAGCCATGTCAATAAAATCCTCAAATGTCGAACAAAGAAGTTGTGAGCGTCGAAGGTGTAGTAAAAAAGTGACTCAAATGTCGAACAAAGGGTTTACTTTGTTTGAGGGCTCTAAAGAAAGGAGTCGAGCCTCAATTAAAGGGAGGCTGCTCGAGGGCTCCATAGGCCTTAGGGGAGGCTCTATGATATACTTTGTTTGAGGAGAGGATTGTTGGAGGGGAGTGCCACATCGGCTAGCCGATGATCATGAGTTTATAAGTAAAGAATACTATCTCCATTGGTATAAGACCTTTTGGGGAAACCAAAAACAAAACCAGGAGAGCTTATGTTCAAAGTGGACAATATCATACCACTGTGGAGTGTTGTGGAGTGTTGTGGAGTGTCGTGATTGTGATTCTTGAACATGAGATGTTTCTATGGCTAATGATAGTATCTCATAGTGCAGGATATCAACTTTTGGGGAAATGTTTATCCAACTTTGGTGGCTCTACCGTATCTTCATCAAAGCAATGGTCGAGTCATTGTTAACGCATCGGTCGAGACCTGGTTACCTCTGCCACGGATGAGTTTATACTCTGTAAGTCTACAGTTCTTCACTAATAGCTTATCTCAAGCAACAGAAAACTGACTCGATTTTTCGATTATAACAGGCTTCCAAGGCAGCACTGGTGAATTTCTATGAGACATTGAGATTTGAAGTGAAAGATGATGTTGGGATAACAATAGCCACACATGGTTGGATTGGAAGTCAAATGACCAGAGGCAAGTTCATGGTGGAAGATGGTGCAGAAATGCAACGGAAGGAAGAAAGAGAGGTAAACTAAACTAAACTAAACTAAACAGCTCTTTGGTTTGGCCAGCCTTCAAATGAAATGAATGAACGGTTCGTTTTTGTGATTCAGGTGCATGTAACCGGAGGCCCGGTTGAGGAGTTTGCAAAGCTGATTGTGTCGGGGGCGTGTCGGGGAAATATATACGTTAAGTATCCAAGCTGGTATGACATCTTCCTGCTATACAGGATGTTTGCACCCAACATCCTGAACTGGACATTCAGGTTGCTACTTTCGGGTAACGGTTCGAGGAGGACATCCCTAGTCGGGACGGGAATGCCCGTATATGAAGCTAGCGGGAGTGGGAGCGGGAGTGGGAGCGGGAGGCTGGTTTTGGAGGGAGCGTCGCCTAGACGACTACTACTTGCCCCTAACTCACCACAAAGCCTACAGGCCCAGAAGCTGGAATGAAATCACAAGTTTTCCTATAGAATGTTGTTAATGAATGTTTTGATCTGATTATCAGTTGAATAAACAGGACGTTTTCGAGTCGAGTTCATCTGTAAACTTCAATAAAAGATGGGCACATTTTTTTGGTTCAACAAAAGCATCTAATTTCTTGCTATGTATATGTATATAGTATACAAGAACAGATATGATATCATTTCCCAAGGCAGAAGAGGATATGAACTTACAGCACATCTATTTGAAAGCATCTGAAGCAGAATAAATGAAGTCCAAGAATCCAGTTCCCTTGAGAAGACCCTTCCCAGTTAAGAGCTCAAAATCCAACAACAACAAGAACCCAATCACTGCTGCCTTTCCATTTATCACTTCATTCTTTCCAGTGAAGCCAAACCCTTCAAGTTCTTCATCGACCACCATTTTCACCTTGAACATAAACACAAGGAGTTCAAGAACTGGCAAAAAAAAAAAAAAAAAAAAAATAGAATACGTTCGACTAAACAATTCCCTAGTTATCTCGTCAACATGAGCATAACATAAAGTTCAAGAACGGAAGAAAACTGCAAAAAAACAGAATACGCTTGACTAAACAATTATAGTTACCTTAGGTAGAAGTTCAAGAACGGAAGAAAATTATTAGCGAAAAAACAGAATACGTTCGACTAAACAATTCCATAGTTATCTCGTCGAATTAACACAAGGTAGAAGTTCAAGAACCGAATAAAACTATCGGCAAAAGAACAAAATACGTTCGACTAAATAATTTCATAGTTACCTCGACTAAACAATTCCATAGTTACCTTGTCGACATGAACATAACACAAGGTAGAAGTTCAAGAACTGAAGAAAACTATCGGCAAAAAAACAGAATACGTTCAACTAAACAATTCCATAGTTACCTCGTCGACATGAACATAACACGAGGGTAGAAGTTCAAGAACGGAAGAAACCTATCGGCGAAAAAATAGAATACATTTGACTAAACAATTCCATAGTTACCTCGTCGACATGACCATAACACAAGGTAGAAGTTCAAGAACGGAAGAAAACTATTGGCAAAAAAATAGAATACATTCGACTAAACAATTCCATAGTTACCTCGTCGACATGAACATAACACAAGGTAGAAGTTCAAGAACGGAAGAAAACTATCGGCAAAAAAACAGAATGCGTTTGACTAAACCATTTCATAGTTACCTCGTCGACATGGACATAACACGAGGGTAGAAGTTCAAGAACGGAAGAAAACTATTGGCGAAAAAATAGAATACATTCGACTAAACAATTCCATAGTTACCTCGTCGACATGAACATAACACAAGGTAGAAGTTCAAGAACGGAAGAAAACTATCGGCAAAAAAATAGAATACGTTCGACTAAACAATTCCATAGTTACCTCGTCGACATGAACATAACACAAGGTAGAAGTTCAAGAACGGAAGAAAACTATCGGCAAAAAAATAGAATACGTTCGACTAAACAATTCCATAGTTACCTCGTCGACATGAACATAACACAAGGTAGAAGTTCAAGAACGGAAGAAAACTATCGACAAAAAAACAGAATGCGTTTGACTAAACCATTTCATAGTTACCTCGTCGACATGGACATAACACGAGGGTAGAAGTTCAAGAACGGAAGAAAACTATTGGCGAAAAAATAGAATACACATGGACATAACACGAGGGTAGAAGTTCAAGAACGGAAGAAAACTATTGGCGAAAAAATAGAATACATTCGACTAAAACACGAGGGTAGAAGTTCAAGAACGGAAGAAAACTATTGGCGAAAAAATAGAATACATTCGACTAAACAATTCCATAGTTACCTCGTCGACATGAACATAACACAAGGTAGAAGTTCAAGAACGGAAGAAAACTATCGGCAAAAAAATAGAATACGTTCGACTAAACAATTCCATAGTTACCTCGTCGACATGAACATAACACAAGGTAGAAGATAGAATACGTTCGACTAAACAATTCCATAGTTACCTCGTCGACATGAACATAACACAAGGTAGAAGTTCAAGAACGGAAGACTAAACAATTCCATAGTTACCTCGTCGACATGAACATAACACAAGGTAGAAGTTCAAGAACGGAACAAAACTATCGACAAAAAAACAGAATGCGTTTGACTAAACCATTTCATAGTTACCTCGTCGACATGGACATAACACGAGGGTAGAAGTTCAAGAACGGAAGAAAACTATTGGCGAAAAAATAGAATACATTCGACTAAACAATTCCATAGTTACCTCGTCGACATGAACATAACACAAGGTAGAAGTTCAAGAACGGAAGAAAACTATCGGCAAAAAAATAGAATACGTTCGACTAAACAATTCCATAGTTACCTCGTCGACATGAACATAACACAAGGTAGAAGTTCAAGAACGGAAGAAAACTATCGGCAAAAAAACAGAATGCGTTTGACTAAACCATTTCATAGTTACCTCGTCGACATGGACATAACACGAGGGTAGAAGTTCAAGAACGGAAGAAAACTATTGGCGAAAAAATAGAATACATTCGACTAAACAATTCCATAGTTACCTCGTCGACATGAACATAACACAAGGTAGAAGTTCAAGAACGGAAGAAAACTATCGGCAAAAAAATAGAATACGTTCGACTAAACAATTCCATAGTTACCTCGTCGACATGAACATAACACAAGGTAGAAGTTCAAGAACGGAAGAAAACTATCGACAAAAAAACAGAATGCGTTTGACTAAACCATTTCATAGTTACCTCGTCGACATGGACATAACACGAGGGTAGAAGTTCAAGAACGGAAGAAAACTATTGGCGAAAAAATAGAATACATTCGACTAAACAATTCCATAGTTACCTCGTCGACATGAACATAACACAAGGTAGAAGTTCAAGAACGGAAGAAAACTATCGGCAAAAAAATAGAATACGTTCGACTAAACAATTCCATAGTTACCTCGTCGACATGAACATAACACAAGGTAGAAGATCAAGAACTGAAGAAAACTATCGGCAAAAAAAATAAAATACGTTCGACTAAACAATTCCATAGTTACCTCGTCGACATTGACATCGGTAGCAGTTACACCGGGTTGAGCTTTACCACTAAAGACAATCTCAGCAGACGAATCTGATATCACGTTTCCCCTCATGTTGATATAAATGTTGTTTTCATCAGTTTTTACAGGGTATACAAAAAGCTTCCTTAAGGCTGGTGTGAGGACTCTGAGGACAGGATTGTTTGGATACCATTCCTTGATGTCTCCAGTTTGGAGGTCAAATGTGCTATCTGTCGTTGGACAGACAATACAGCCATCCTGAGTAGAGAACAGGTATGATCATTCAATGAAGTGTTCTACATTGCAAGCATTAGAACTTATTCTAGTTTCAAAAACTGAAATGCTGATAAATATGAAGAACATTGAAGCCCAACAGTCAATTTGAATGAGTAAGAACCAAAGTTTTATCTATCCAGCCGTAAGGAGTTGAACATTTCCATTCTATTTGGTGTTTAGGTGAAATCGAGCTTGACCCAATTGTCTCTATCGTACCATTGTAAAGAAAGAAAAGGAATCGATTGTCATATTCATATTGAGGATGGTTAGGAGGGAGTTCCACATTGGCTAATTAAGGGAAAGATCGGCTAATTAATGGAACGATCATGGGTTTATAAGTAAGGAATACAACTCCATTGGCATGAGGCCCTTTGGGAAAACCAAATGCAAAGCCATGAGAGCTTATGCTCAAAGTGGACAATATCATATCATCGTGGAGATTCGTGATTCCTAACATGGCATCGGAGTCATGCCCTTAACTTAGCCATGTCAATAGAATCCTCAAATGTCAAACAAAGAAATTGGGACCCTCGAAAGTATAGTCAAAAGTGACTCAAGTGTTGAATAAATAGTGTACTTCGTTCGAGGGCTCCCACATTGGCTAATTAAGGGAATGATCATGGGTTTATAAGTATGGAATACATCACCCTTCGTATAAGGCCTTTTGGGGAAACCAAAAGCAAAGCCATGAAAGCTTATGCTCAAAGTGGACAATATCATACCATTATGAAGATTCGTGATTCCTAACATGGTATGAGAGCCTCAGGGAAAGCTCTATGGTATACTTTGTTTGAGAGGAGGATGGTTGGGAGGGAGTCCCACATTAACTAATTAAGAAAACAATCCTGGGTTTATAAGTAAGAAATACATCTCCATTGATACGAGACCCTTTGGAAATATCACAAGCAAAGCCGTGAGAGCTTATACTCAAAGTGGACAATATCATACTATCGTGGAGATTCGTGATTCCTAACCGTCCTTGATGCAATAACGAACCTAATCTTCTCTAAATCAGGAAAATATGTCCTCCCCAATTGGGCAATCATCACTGTTATTCTCTATGAATCATATGAAACAAGGGCAGAATTCAGATAATTCTACAATTCTTTGACAGTCGCAAGAAAAGAAGAAACAGAGGAAATGAAATAAACCTTAGTGAGTTTGGCATTAAGGAGACCTTCAGTGTAAGCACCTTCAGCAGGGGAACGATTCTCAATAGCAAAAATCCTCTCCTTATACCAAAGAAGCAAAACCGTCTCCCCACCCTGAATAATCACGCGCCGCTCCCCTTTCGGCAGCGCCGACAACGGAACCACGGGCACCCAGTTACCAGACGCCGACGATTCCTCAGCCACCGAGACCTCCGACGCTTTGCACAAGATTTTCCGGGGACCGGAAGGAGGAGAGGCGAAAAGGGAACGGCGAAGGGCGGGTTTGAGAATGGGAAGGGCGGCGGTGCATGGGGAGGAGATCGGATGGTTCCGGCGGAAAGGATGGGCAAAATGGGAAGTGAGGTTAGTGGAATTGACGGCCATTGGGAGGTGGAAGTGGAAGGGGAATGGAGGGGGTGAATGACAGTGAGAGAAGAAGCAGGGGAGGAGAGAGAGAGAGGGATTTAGAGAGAGAAAATGGAGGATTTGCCATAGACCACATGAAATGGATAACAGGAAAGGGTCAATGAAAATGGAGCGCCGGTGATCTGAATATGTGTACCAAATTCTTATACGTTGTGTCAATGGTTTCACGTGGCCCCAAGTTTTGTTGTTCATTCAACATTTTGATTTTCTCCACGACATGGACCAACTCAACTTGAACTATAAGAATTGGATTAGGTTGAATTACCATTCCAGATAGGGTTGGGTTCATTTTTCTAAACTCGAATTAAATCGATTCAGTTTTAGGTTCGTGGGACAAAACCCATGGGTTGACCCGAGCGACCCAATCCAAATAAAAATATATAAGCTATTATTAAGAATCATTTCTTATTAATGGGTTTGTGAGAGTGCTACTTTTAATATATTTCATTTGAAATTTGTGTTAATGGATTTATGTTTGTTTGTGAACTTTTAATATATTTTATTTGAAATTTGTGTTAATGGATTTATGTTTGTTTGTGAACTTTTAATATATTTTATCTAAGATGGTATCCGATATAAGGAGTGGATTAATAAAACTTAAAAAAGATTGACAACCCAACCCCGAGAATAAAGGGTTGGGTTGGGTTACTAATCCAACCGAACTATGTACACCCCTATTTTCAGTATTAATGGGTTCTCAAATTTGTGTTTGTTTGTAAACTTTTAATATATTTTATATAAGATTGTATACGAATAATTACAGGGTGTGGATTAATAAAACTTAAAAAAAAATTGACAACCCAATCCGAATAGAGGGTTGGGTGGGAAAAAGTTTTGGGTTGAGTTAACCGGGACTATGTACACCACTACTTTTACCTTAAATTTTATCATCTCAAAAATCTAAATTGGGTCGGTTCATCCGCTAACTCAATCTCAAAATTCTAAATTGGGTCGGTTCATCCGCTCACCTTCTTAAACCAACCAGGACCATGTACACCCCTACTTTTCAAAAATCTAAATTGAGTCAGTTCATCCGCTCACCTTCTTAGATGAAAACGACTCTCCACAATGGTATAATATTGTCGACTTTGAGCATAAGCTCTCATGACTTTGCTTTGGGCTTCCCCGAAAAGCTTCATTCCAATGGAGATAGTATTTTTTTTTATTATTATTATTATAAACCCACGATCATTCCCTAAATTAGCCGATGTGGGACTTTCATCCAACACGTCCCATTGAACAAAGTACTCCTCCCCTTAATCGAGGCTCGACTCCTTTTCTTTTGGAGTCTTAGTCTTTTTTTACTATGCCTCCGAGGCTCACAATACTTTTGTTCCATACTTGAGAATTCTATTGACATGGCTAACTTTAGGAGCATGACTCTAATACCATAGTTAACACTGTCATAAAACTAAAGACAGCTAAATACCGACATTTCTTGAGAATGAGTTAAAAGTGAAAAAAATATAAGAATAGATCATCAAATTAAATAAACAATCAAAAGAATTAGTTTAAAGATGTTGTATATAACAAAAATAAAAATACTATAAAATGGGCGTCGGCCGAGGTACCACTCTGTCAAACCTATTATTACAGACAGATTCTTAATATAATTTATATATTTTTATTTGGCTCGGGTCAAGTTGGAAGTTTTATCCACAAACCCCGAGACCGAATCGATTTAGTTCGAGTTTAGAAAAATGAACCTAACCATATCCGAAATGCTAATCCAACCCAACCTAACTCTTATAGTTCGATTTAGGTTGGTCCGGTCGTCGAGTTACTTGTCTCCACCCCACCCAAGGGGTATACATCTCTAACAACTTCGAGACCGGTATACATCTCTAACAACATCGCTAACTTTATATATTTTTGACGTAATAATTAAAATAAATAATAAATTTTAAAATACACAAGAAAATTTTCCATAATATTTGTCCACGATTTGGCTCTTCTCTTTCTTTCGTTTACGGTGGCTGCATCCAGCACGCACAGTCGCCCTTGACGATCCCTCCCTCTTCTGTTCTGCAATTCTCTTCTTTCTCGCCGCCGCCACCGCCGCCAGCCACGCCGCCTCTTCCTCAGTAATCCATTTCCTTCTCTCCGGTAATCTATCAAGTTGGATCAAATCTATTTTCCATAATTTTGTCCTCTTGTATGATTCATAATTCTTTTTCGAACACTTCCGATTCTGTGATTCGAACTATGTGTTGAATGACCTAGATAGATCTTGGCCGATCTGGCTGAGGATATCCTACTGGCAGATTTCAGCTTATCATTCCTAGAAAATTTACTTTGTTTGGGAGTTAGAGCCCTATCTTTATCTCACTATGTGATTTTTTGCTGGCTAATTCCATTATCCATTTTTTAAGTTGTTGGGAATTACAGAAACCCGTCTTCTTAGATGGAAATTCATAATAACTATAGTTAAGTGGCATGAAAGGGATTTGACTGTCCTCTAGAATGTATTTGAAAAATTAAAACCATGAACCAATATGCAGTTGTTCATGGATATGGTTGTTTCAAATTGAAAACACTTGTGCGCATTGATCCACATATGTGTATGGACACATTCAATTTAGGATATGTTGTCCTGTTTTATTTATTTTTGCATTTTTCAGCTTTTAAGTTTTTTCAGCTTCTCTCCTGTTGCTATAAGTGTGGATATCTATATTTCCAAATATGTATTTTTCTTTACTTAATTGGTTCAAGATGGTATCAGATCTGACTATCCACGGTAGAAGTTGTTAGGAATCACGAACCTCCACAATGGTATGATATTGTCCGCTTTGAGCATAAGCTCTCATGGCTTTGCTTTTGGTTTCCCCAAAAGGCCTCATACCAATGGAGATCTATTCTTTACTTATGAACCTATGATAAACCTCTTAATTAGCCAATGTGGGACTCCTTCCCAACAATACTTAACAGAAGTATAGTTCTAGAATTCTAGACCAAAACTGTTCAATTTTTGTGTGTGTTTGATATAAAGGTAAAGCTTTTCTGATCTTAAACATTCATGAGATAGTAGCTGGAAATTTGTTTCATGGAAGGTAAAGGAAACAAAGGAGGTGGAGAAAAGAAAATAAATAAGGGTTTGCTTAGCTTCCAAATTTTCTTCTATGATTTTTCTTGTAATATATAAGATTTCATAATGCTCCAGAATTTGATAGAAATATCACTTTTGGCTTCAATTTCAAGCTCCACCATGGAAGGGAAAAAACCATTCTCAGTATCACACAGCAAGCATGGTTTTTGTATTTAAGATGATAAAAATTAAAAGAACCTAAATTTTGAACCATGTTAATAAAATGATCTAATTTTTATACACACGAGCTTTGGAGGGTCTAAATTTCACCATTAATATTTCATGGGGGGAATTTAAACAATCACTATATTTTAGTTTAGGTTGGTTCAACCTTTTCTTTCATACTCTGTTCTTGGCTTTTGTATTTGCTTTTACGGGATTTAGTTGTAGTGTTGATTAATGTTAATTTTTCATTCAATTGTTTGTTATCATTACATTGAATTATATTTTGCAGGATGTGCTACTTGTTACTGACACATTTAAAATAAACCTCTTGCAAGGTTATTCTCTTGATCCTCACAAAATTTTAGTTTAGGTTGGTTCAACCTTTTCTTTCATACTCTGTTCTTGGCTTTTGTATTTGCTTTTACGGGTTTTAGTTGTAGTGTTGATTAATGTTAATTTTTCATTCAATTGTTTGTTATCATTACATTGAATTATATTTTGCAGGATGTGCTACTTGTTACTGACACATTTAAAATAAACCTCTTGCAAGGTTATTCTCTTGATCCTCACAAAATTTTAGTTTAGGTTGGTTCAACCTTTTCTTTCATACTCTGTTCTTGGCTTTTGTATTTGCTTTTACGGGTTTTAGTTGTAGTGTTGATTAATGTTAATTTTTCATTCAATTGTTTGTTATCATTACATTGAATTATATTTTGCAGGATGTGCTACTTGTTACTGACACATTTAAAATAAACCTCTTGCAAGGTTATTAATTATATTTTGCAGGATGTGCTACTTGTTACTGACACATTTAAAATAAACCTCTTGCAAGGTTATTCTCTTGATCCTCACAAAATTGCTACTTGTTACTGACACATTTAAAATAAACCTCTTGCAAGGTTATTCTCTTGATCCTCACAAAATTGATTTTATTCTGCAGAAAAGCCTGTACCTTGTAGAACTCACTAAACAATGGGTGATTATCACTTTGTGTACAAGGATGTTGAAGGAGCCTCCACTCAGTGGGATGATATTCAGAGAAAGTTGGGAAACCTACCTCCAAAGCCTGCTCCATTCAAGCCACCAGGCTTCACGCCTGCCCAAGATGAGGCATCCGTCTCCAAAGACAAGTCTTGGATTGATCAGAAGACTGAAGAGGAGCTTGAAGACCTTGAGGATGATCTAGATCTTGATGATGACAACTTTCTCCAAGAGTATAGGTTGGTTTTCTTCATTAACCCTTCATGTTTGGTTGTTGCTTTTGTGTAATTTTATTCATTGCTGGTAGAACTAAAGAAAAACTGAGATCAGTTGATGCTGAATTGGTCAATTTGGTGGCCAGGAGGAAATCATATGACATTGATTAATTTATTAATTGAAGGAAATCTAAATTTTTCTTCTCCATTCAACAAGTATGAGATTTTCTCTTTAATTAGCTTTTCACCATCCTGTTTATTAGTTAATTCATTACCTAATATTTCTTCTTCATCCAAATTCTTAGTTGAATTGAATCCATATCCTTTGAGATTTTGTGACAAAAGAATTACAAAATCTCTGACTTTGATGCAACTTTATTTTTGGGATAGGAAAAAGAGGTTGGTCGAGATTAGAGAAGCAGCTAAAATCTCTAAATTTGGATCAGTAAATCCAATATCAGGGTCAGATTTTGTGCGTGAGGTTTCACAGGCTCCGTCTGATGTTTGGGTTGTCGTTATTCTCTACAAAGAAGGGTACCGTCCATATCCAACGCCCCAAATGTTTTTATGTTCTTTACATTCTGTTGACATTTACTCTCTGGTGTGTTAATATCCTTTTTATGTTATATTATGATCTCATGACAGAATTCAAGAATGCGATGTGTTGATGAATTGTTTGCAAGAACTGGCCACGAGATATCCAGCCACAAAATTTGTTAAAATAATATCCACAGATTGCATTCCCAACTACCCAGATTGTAATCTTCCTACTTTGTTAGTTTACAACAATGGTGCAGTGAAAGCAAATTATGTGGGCCTTCGAAGTTTCGGCAGAAGATGCACTCCAGAAGGTACTCATTTATATACAACTAAGAACGCCCATTTGGTTGGTTTGTGTCCTCTGCAGCTTCTTTCTAGTTAGTTATGCATCATTGTGTTATTGTTCAACGGTCAGCGCTCTTATTTGGTTAGATATTTGAAAGCATGTTATCACTTTCCTCATTTATGTGATACCAATGATTTTATCATGGGCAAACTTTGCATTTGAAATTGTGTTATATGGTTGAGTTCTAAGCCATTGAGTTCTGTTGGTTCTGTGACCTTGTGAAGTGGAATTCATGGGCTTCCTTGGTTGATTGGGTTGTGTTTAGCTTGAGACAGGGTTTGTGGCACTACGATTGAGGAGGTTCTCCCCCCATTTTGGGGTAAGGGCCGGATTTTGCAGTAGACTTGTTTCTTTGTTGTATTGCGGAGAATTTAGTTTAAAAGAAATGGTAGAATATTTTGGGAAGTTGAGAGATCATAAGAGGAGATTTGCAAGAAAGGTTGCTAGGTTAAATGTAACGGCCTAAATCCACTACTAGCAGATATTGTCAGATTTCTCTTTTATGCTTCCTCTCAGTTTTTAAAACGCATCTGCTAGGGGAATGTTTCCACACCCTTATAAAGAATGTTTCGTTCTCCCCCCAACCAATGTGGGATCTCACAATCCACCTCACTTCGGGGTCCAGCGTCCTCGTTGACACTCGTTCTTTAATTGATGTGGGACCCTCCAAATCCACTCTCCTTTAGGGTCTTGCGTCTGTGCTGGCACACCGCCTCATGTCCACACCCCTACGGGGTCGGCCTTCTCGTTGGCATGTCGTCTAGTGTTTGGCTCTGATACCATTTGTAACAGCTCAAGTCCACTGCTAGCTGATATTGTCTTCTTTGGACTTTACCTTTCGGGCTTCCCCTCAAAGTTTATAAAACGCGTCTGATAGGGAAAAGTTTTCACACCCTTATAAAGAATGTTTCGTTCTCCTCCCTAACCAATGTGGGATCTCACGTCTACCCAATATATTTTTTTTTTTTGCAAGCATGAGCTATGTTTGATTCTTTTGGGTTAGAGTCATTTTCTGTAGTAAGTGGAAGGACTCTTTTCATTTTCTGTAGTCGAAGTATTTTATCTGCCAACTATGGAGGGCATGTCCAGATGAGAAATTCTGAAACCATTTATCTGAAGCTGTACTAAGTTGTTGATCATATTTTGGTTGCAAGCTCTTCATATCCTGCAAATGATCATGTAATTCTTGGTTGTTGGTTTTCAGGTGTTGCATTAGTTCTTTGTCAAGCAGATCCAGTGCTGAATGATGGTCAGTCTGGAAACGATGAATCGAGAAAATCCATGCTCGAAGGCGTACGCAGAAAGATAATTGAGAAAGTGGTGAGAGATCATGAAGATGGGATTGACGATGGGTCTTCGAGTGATTAGTTTTTGAATCGATCGGGTTTTTCTTTTCTAACGCCCTCTGTTTTAGTTGCTGGAGATTGAAAAGTACTGTTTGGTTACTGCTCATTCTATCGAATGTTTTATTATATAATGTATGCTTATGTGATGTGTGCTGCTATGTGGATGTTAGACTCATCAGATATTCAAATTGCATCAAATCTAAGCCTAAAATGAAGCCAATTGAATTATCTTGTTAGGTGATCATTCTAGAATTTTTCTATTTCTGCTAACACTCAATAGGCTTTCCAGAGATAGCCTGTACCTGAAATAGAAGTACAAATACAATTATCTTATGCATGTCGTCGATCGTATAGGGATGCCTTGCCTTTACCTGAAATAGAAGTGAAGTAGCATGTAGCTTGAGCTTTAAGAAATACTTAGTAAGTGGCCCTATCGGAGTTAGATGCAAGCACATACAATCATGAGTGAGGCTTATCATATCAATTTATATTTCCTTAGGTATCTATTTTGAACGGGTTAATTGGATGTGTATTTACTGTTCTACACATGGGCTACACATGCAAGTATGGACCCACCAGTCGGTTTGCACACCTCCTAGACCTTTTTTTTGTCGGGTGAGCATTCTCTAAGAGATGTTGATGTCAAACATCCGTTAGGCATAGCGACCCGTCGCAACATTATAATGAATATAATGATTGTTTTCCTACCTTATAGTGTACGTGTTCGGATCATTGTAAAAGAAGAAGGGGTATGCCCCGATGCATGAACATACAATGATATATGAAGTCCCAACATTTTTATTCATTGTAATGTAAAACAACACCTTCCATTTTTTCTTCGTATCATTTTCATCCGAGCTTTCCAAACATAAATTGGAGTTGTGCATTATGTTGACACATTTTGCCGTCATTCATATCATGCATCGTGTCATATCATACATATATCATATCATCAGCATATCATGTAACATCATGTACTATGTTGCCAAACATATTACACTATAACATTCATCTTATCATAAGTACATCACATCAGAACACGTGTCATAACTTTCACGTATCATCTCATCGTCACATTGTATGACAGACATATCATTTCGTAAATAAATCATAATCATATTGTTTCATAAATACGTCACAGTCATATCATTTCATAAGCATCTCATGGTCATATCCTTTCATAAATTTATCATAATTATATCATTTCATAACATATCCTAGTCATATCATTTCATAAGCATATTACAGTCGTCTCATTTTATCAACATATCATAGTCATATCATTTCATAAATATGTCACAGTTATATCGTTTCATAAACATATCATAGTTATATTGTTTCATAAACATTTCACACATATCAAGCATATAACACGTGCAAAACCACGGGTCACATGTCATCATACAATATCAATTTCTAACCATAACAACAGTAAGACCACTTACTTGGTTGGCCTAGGTCAAAACTATTACGACCCTATAACGATCTGAAATTTTCTACTTAATTTAAGTAGGTCACCACTGTGTACATATCATTAGCATTAAATGTGGAAATACTTCATTTAAGCTTTTATAAAATGTCCCCTTCATCTTAAAACACAGCCATGGACTTACATGTTTTGAAAATATTTTTAAAAAATGACACAACAAAAAACTAAATAAAATAAATAAACGTTTAAACTAAAAATATCCTAATCTAGCCTAAGTCTAAGAAAATAAATACGACTACCCTATGCATGTGTCACGGTCTAGAGTTGCGATGTCGCCGTCAGCCATACAAGAATGTCTTGCCTTAACCTAAAATCTAAAGAAATACTCGGCCATACAAGAATGTCTTGCCTTAAATGCAAGAACATGCAAATGCAATGACGAAACCTATATTTTTAGTCTATTTTCATACGATACTATCCTAATGGGTAACTTGGATGTGTACCATATACTCTACACACAACCCATACGTGCGAGTATGGACTCACTAGTCAGTTCGCATACCACTGGGTCACTTTCCTTGTCGGGCGAGCATACTCTAGGAGCTCCTTAGGCTGGACACCCGTTAGAACTAGTAACCGTCACGACAACATTAGGTTAAACATAATGATCGTTTTCCTGCCTGACTGTCGTAGCATTATGATAAACATAATGATTGTTCTCCCGCTTGGTCATCACAACATTATGATAACTATAATGATCCTTTTCGTGCCTAGTAATGTACGCGTTCGTACTATCGTGAAGGGTAAGAGGTATCCCCCAATGCATGAACACACAATAATGCATGAGGTCCCAACATTTTTCCATTTTCATTATCATTTAATACAACCCCGCTAGCGTTCCGTACATATCGTATCACATATCGTTTATCATATCTTTCATGCATAAGCCGGAGTTGTATTTCATGCTAGTTCTTCATTTTGCATGTCAATCAATCATATCATTCAAATTACATAAATAAATCATATCATAACATTCCATACTTCCGGACATAACAATTTTCATCATATACATATTATACCATAACATATTGCATCACAATATATCATATCATAAACATGTCAATTTATCACATATCTCGTACCATAACACATTTCATATCATATCACAACATATATATATATCCGTCATTCACATGTCGTATCATAATCATATCCTATCATAAACATTTCGTGGTCATATCGTTCCCTAACGTATCATAGCCTTAACATTCTTATACCTATCACAATCATATCGTTACATGAATGTATCTTAGTCATATTGTTACAGGAACGTATTCTAACGCTATCGTTATATCAATTTATCATAATTCTATCCCTTTCTACCCATAACCTAACCATATTCTTTTATCGATTATGACCATACGTTTTTATAAATTTCTCATGTCCATAGCACTTCAATACGTAACCTAACCTTAACGTTTCATGAACATATCTTACTCCTATCATTATATTACGTTTAGTGCATCCTTCTCGTATCCTACCTCAAACATATCATTGAACACATCGTACCGTAAGTATTATCACACAATTCACATATTATAACATATACATATCATATCATAAGCATATCAATCCATAAACAATTCACACATATCAATATATATGACACGTGCAGAACCACGGGGCACGTGTCAACATCAAATATAACCATGCCGATAGTAAGACCCCTTACTTGATTAACTTAGGCTGGTGTCACCAATTTTTCCTTAATAAAAATTCAATTTTGTCCTTTGCATCCAAGTCATCCTATGCCAACTCATGACATCAATTTCAAATTCAATTCTCTATATTTTATAGTGCTCTAGTGTTAGATTTTATGCGAGCACGAGAGACTGTCTTAGAATATTTTATGTATATATAATTTTATTTTTATTAAAAATTTCATTTTCTATTATTACTACTTCTTTTCGAGAAGATATAGTTACTATATTTTCAAATACTTTTCATAGCCGATCATCTCTTAAAAATTAATTTGTGTTTGACCGTACATAAAAAAAATTACTAATATCATTATGTTGCTTGAATCACATCGACAATTTTAAAAGATAGTTTAATTCTCCAAATTTTCCCTTTTCTTCCCTTTGTGATTTTTGGCCAATTTAAATCGATTCTTAGGATGCTATTGATCATGGCTGATTTTCTATAATAATAACTAAAAATCTAAATAATTACAACAATATAAAAGAAAGAAAAAATGACAAATCTTTTCTTTTCTTATCTTCGATCTTTCCTTATCAGACCCAAGCGGGATCAGCTAAAATGTTGACCTAAAGCTGTCAAAAAATTTAAAATGCAATTTTCCCGTATTCGTGAGGGAGTGCTACATCTTCAAGGGTAATCACGAGTGACCACTTATATTTTGAGTGAAATATGTGTGAAACAATAATCACTGATTTCTTTAATAGTATGATATTGTCCACTTTGAGCATAAGCTCTCATGGTTTCATACCAATGGAGAGAGTATTATTTGATTATAAACCCATGATCATTCCCTAAATTAGCCGATGTGGGACTTTCATCCAACACCTCCCATCGAACAAAGTACGCCTCCCCTTAATCGAGGCTCGACTCCTTTTCTTTTGGAGTCTTAGTCATTTTTTACTATGCCTTCGAGACTCACAATACTTTTGTTTGATATTTGAGGGTTCTATTGGCATGACTCTTTGATACTAGGTTAGGAATCACCAATCTCCACAATAGTATGATATTGTCCACTTTGAGCATAAGTTGCTTTGCTTTCGGTTTTCCTAAAATGCCTCATACCAATGAAGAGATTATTCTTTGATTATAAACCTAGGATCACACAACACACACACTCGATCTAGATGAACACAAAGAGAATATTGGCTAAATGATTTGTATTGATGACTTCATATATATATACAGTAAAAGAGAATTTTGAGAATACACATAATATAGAAAGTACATTTTCAAAGATGTGCCTGGAAAATATATATATATATATATATATATATATATATATATATATATATATGGTTTAGCTTACTATATATATATAGTCTTACCAGATATAACATCTACTGTATATAATTATCTATCCTATATAGTTTTCCTTTTTACTATATATATATACATATACATACATACACACCTATATATATATACACATATATACACACACACACGCATAAATATATATATATATATATATATATATATCTACATACATACATACATACACATACATACATACATACGTCTAATTGCAATTTACTCCATTTACCAAATATAGCTTCACAATTTTTACATATCGACTTAGTCTATCAACTTTTTTGGAAATGATACAAAAAAAAGATATCTTTGGTCACAACAAAAAAACTAATGAATTGGATAATCCTTGGAATTATCTTAATGAAAAAAAAATGATAAACAGAATAGAAATTCTGGATAAGGGATCCACAACTAGAGTAGGGGATGTACTGGAAAAACATAATGAAACTGAAAACGACTATTTATCAAAAACATATGATCCTTTGTTGAGCGGACCTTATCGCAGACGAATCAATTTTTTTTTTTTTGTTTTCATTTTCAATGATAAATGAAACTTCTAGAAAAAATGATAGGGAGAATGTTTGGACAAATAAGATTCATACTATCTTTCTATAACGGTTGACTAATCAATAAATAAGTCGGAGGCTTCATAACCTAGCAATGATCATCCAACAAAGGGAAAAGTAAAACTTATTGTCTCTACACGGAAGAATATGTACTAACATGG